ATTAATACATTATATTTGGGGTTGTAGTGAAGGTTTGACTTTCAGATGCTCCCTGACAATTTAATGATCCATCTACGTTAGGTTATTGTTTATTTATCATAAGCAGGTTAACTGACAAGGTCAACAATGCAATGAAATGTTCACTATGAGAAGAACCGTCTTGTTTCGTTAAAATACAAACAAATAAACAACCCCCCAAGAAATAAAAGGTACAAACAAAGTACCAAATAGTGAAAAATACATTAACAAGGTTCAAAAGAAATTTAATAAACAACATGGTAGAATATAACAGTGTAAGTGGGATTAATCAGTATAAATAAGTATTTCACAGGTTGTAATATTAGCATAAATGCACATGATATACTGTATATTGTACATACACAGGTTGTGTGACAGGTAGTGACATACATGATACAGCCACATAGTGCAATAAACATATTAGATGTCACAGATGTGGCTCAGTGCAGTGCTATTGTTAATAATTCAGTATTTTTATCAAGAGTTCAGTAATGTGACAGCTTGTGGGTAATAGCTGTCCTTTAGTCTTGATCAGCCTCTTACTGTCACTTTGGACTTTAAACCAAGTGCAAACATGAAGTTCATGCACAGCGGACTTTGTTTGCCTTCAATCCAAAGAATATCAAAGGAAACGAGTCCAAACCATGAGAACAAAATGAAGCTTTTATGCGTCTTTAGAGTTCTTTGAAATGATCAAATACGGGGTCACATGGACCTGAACAGATACCCCCGTTTGTTTTTCTCAGGCTTGATTTGACTGGATTCATCCCCCCTCCCACTTAACATTTATGGTTTAATTCCAGCAGAAACATGTAAAGCTGGAACACCTTCCTCTGGTCGCCCTCCCACCCCCACCCCAGCCAGGCTCTTTGTTTGGATTGTTGGTAAATACGTGCTGTTTGTGCCTTTGCCCTCGCTGCCCGTCATCCTTGACCCTGCACTGGACCAATCTCTTTAACCCCTGAACCTGAAAGCGTCTGTGCATGTCACTGTCTAAAGGCATTGAGAGAAAGGTTGTTATGGTTGTCAAAGTAAGAACAAAACGCTGCTCGGACAATAATGATGCCTTTGGAATGTGCAGACCTGAGTTAAAAGGGTGTTTAACACTTTGAAGACAGCATGTCTTCATTGGCTGCAGCTTGAATATAACACAATATGAAGAGTCTGGAGGGACATAGAGCGGAGAAGCTGTTTTCAGTGGTCACTCAGTTTCATCATGTAGTAAAACTTCACAAAATTAAGGAAATTGCTACTTCATGCAATCAAGTATATGATCAATTAAAGGCTCGATCTGAAACATTCTTGTTACATTTCTTACAAACGTGACGTCATTTTCCAGCACATAGACACAACATCTCTTTGACGTAGAGGGAGGCTGTCTGATCATCTTAGCAGCGACCAAAGATTTAGGTCTCTAATCCAGACACTTCCCTTCCTCCAGTCCGCTTTCTGAGACACACGTGACCCGTTCAGACGCTGGTTTACCTACAGCTCCACTAAAGGCTTGATGAGACACACCGATCTGCATCTCGTCATAATCTCCCTCACGGTCCATGAATGAGTCTGATTGAACGGAGAAACGTGGACATGTGTCCAACAAACAGAGCTCCTTATGGGATTTAACTTAGGGTAAAGTGTGTAACTTGTTTCAGGTAGAGGAAGCACATACACATAATAAAGCCCACCAGAAATCATCCTAAAAACAAAGATTTAGAACATTTTCTTGGCGGTTAATTGGACATTTTGGACCTCCCACGGTGCAAAACTAACATTTCTGACTTGGCACAAATTATAAAAATAATAAATTACATCTACTTAAGTAATGAATACATATTTATTACTTTAAAAAATAGCATATTTACCGTCTAGTATGTCTTGATTTAAACAAAGAGGCACATCAATTACAAAAATATAAATTCCAAACCTAAACACCAGAGACAAAAAGCAAAAAGACATCCAGCTTTTGACACGAAGGTCAAACAAAACGTCCCAAACAGATCTGCGTTAGGAGCTGTGCATTAGATGTGCACAACGAGAAGGTCAAGTTTTTATGCAGCTGTGACGCAGTAAATTAAAACAAAAGTTGTAAATATTCATTCGAGTGGTTTTATTTCACCGTCCTGTGGTCTTTGCAATTAAGAGTTTTAGTTTAAAAGAGCATTACTTTGTAAACATTTTGCACACAGTTTTATTTTTTATTTTAATTATTTATTTAATTATTTGTTGATTATTTATTTTGATCGTTTTTTAAAGTTTATTTTTATTTTTTTTTACCTATTTTTATTTTAAAAACAACAACAAAAAAAATCAAAATTGTGACTTTGGTCTAATTTTACAGAAAATATAAATTTGTTTCCCATAAATGTTCAAACTTTCTGTACCAGAGCGTCTGCTTCACTTAATCCCTTCAGTTTTTGTTAATACAGTTTAAATCATAATCTAGATGTAATGAGGACCCAAATTACAAGCTCTATCGGACAAAATAAAACTTTTAGTAAAAAAAATAAACTTTAACGATGAAATCCGGGACTTTGCACAAACCAGTTTGAGCAGAAAACCACCAACAAGGGCCGAATACAACTGAGACCAAAGGTGAACCAGCAGAACGAGCAGCTGGAAAGTGATTACTGAGTTAAAACACCTGAGCAAGCGAACAGGTGGAGGGCAGGTGTGAAACAGGAGCTGACAACAGGAGTGACTGAGGGAAAATACACAGAGAAATACAACAAAAACATGCAATCTCCAAAACAACAACAACAACAACAAGTAAGAACGTCATTAGAGCAAAATCAAACTAGAAAACCAACACAAAACCTCAAGACCTGTTGGAGTGTCACATGAAAAAAATCTCATTTAGAATCACAGAAAAACTTTCTGGAAATTACAAAGTTGTCATTAGGTCGAATAATTTAAGACTGAAATTTAAATAAATTGGTTGTCATTTGTGGGCAGCACAGTGGCGCAGTTGGTAGAGCTGCTGCCTCTCAGCGAGCAGGTTACCCTGGTTCAAATTCTGGTCCAGGGGCCTTTCTGGGTGGAGTTTGCATGTTCTCTCCGTGCATACGTGGGTTTTCTCCGGGTACTCCGGTTTCCTCCCACAGACCAAAAACATGCATGTTAGACTGATTGGTAACTCTAAATTGTCCCTAGGTGTGAGAGAGAGAGTGGATGGTTGTTTGTCTTGTTTGTCTCTGTGTCCTTGTGATGGACTGGAGACCTGTTCAGGGTGTACCCCACCTCTCGCACAGGGACTGGTGGATATGGGCACCAGTGACCCCCGCAACCCAAAAAGGAAGAAGCGGGTAAAGACAATGGTTACACGAGGAAAAGAAAATCTTCCTAAACAAGTTGCCTTCACATAACTGAAATAACTGAGCGGCTTCGGATGTTATCAGCCCATTAAATGGCCGTTATTAGTTGTCATCCCCATATGTAGTGGTGAGACTGTCCCACCTACCTCCTAGTAGGTTTAAAGGTACGTTATTATCGTTATCATTGCTGATAATAGGCAGCGTCACACGGGGGTAAACCAGGAAGTGTCTTTTTTGGTTTATTTCAGCTTGTGTAACCCTTTTCCTAAACATAAGTTACACGTGACCCAGAGGACCAACCCTAAACTTAACCCCCTTACCCATGTGCCTAAACCTAACCAAGACCCTAAACCCAACCAAGACCCTAAACCTAACCGCCAGACCCTTTACACCACGTGAAGCTGTTATGAGCGGTAACAAAGCTAAAAACAGAACCTATTATCATCGCTAACAACGTACCTTTAAACCCACTAGGAGGTACAGGAGGGGCAGTCTGACCGCTACATATGGGGATGATAACAACTAATAACGACCATTTAATGGCTGCTAACATTCGAAGCGGGTGAATAACTTCCAAACGACACTAAAATAAATAAAGAAATAAACTTTACTTCAAAATAAGAAACAGGTAAAAACAACGAGTCATTTGGACATTCAGGTAGTTGTGCCACGCTGTTACAGTTTTGGAACGTGCAAATATTATTTGTTTTGTGTAAACGTGCAAAGTCTGTGCAAACGTCCAACAGTCACATGCACGTAAAGATGCACCAGGAGATCATGTGTAAATGTGCAGTTCTGCAGATACGTGGTTAAAGATATGCAATGCATGAACAGAAACATAAATGACGGTGTTAGATCATAAATGTTCTTTCATATTCCATGACCTGTTGCAGTGCTGGAGGCTGCTGGTGGTGGATTCCTGTCGCAGGACCCATGGTGGGGGGAGCCGTCGGAGCCGGGGTCTACTTTCTCTTCATCGAGCTGCACCAAGCCGACTCTGAGAAACAGGAGGACAACAACATCCAGGACAAATATGAAGTTATTGCACTGAGTTAAAGTTTGAAACAGATCTGCACAACAGTGACGCGTTGATTCGCTGCGGGTCTGATCAGTGTCAGACTCTTTAAACATCGGCTGAACATGTGTAACGTTAGAATTACACAGCAGCTATAAAACATTATAAACAGTCATAACATGTCAAACATGACAGTTTACATCTGCAGTATTTTTTAAACTAAATAGAGCTGAACTCTTCATACAAAATGTGTTCATGCAGTGTAGGAAGAACATTTTTGTTTTTAGTTGCTGTAAATTATCTTTTGTAACTTCCTCCTTCTGTTTCTTTCCATCTTTTGCATGCTTGTAAAATAATGTGTAATTTTGTTATTTTTTTACTTCATATTTAGATATTTCAGCCTGAAAAACAGTATTCTTTAATATTTTTGACTTTTCCACTAAAGTTTCAAAGTTTCGTGATGTAAACTTCTCTTTTGAAGTTGTGTCTTAGATGATTTTATTACAAACACCCTTTCTAAGAAAAAGCCACAACAGAGAATGGTTTTGTCAGCTGACTGGGGGAGAAGACAAGGATTCAGTTCTCAGCAGAAACTTTTGGACATTTTTCCCCCGATTGCGTTTAACGTAGAGGACTTGTGTGCGCTTCACAGAAACACGAGCTAAATGAGCTCGGATGTGTTGAAAAATGCAAAACTTGCACAATCACAAATCAAACGATAAGAAAAGTGACAATGTTGCTGGACAATGTGAAGCCAAACGCTAAATAAAAAAATAAAATTTGTGTTTTATGACAACTTTTACCTTGACCGAAGAACTAATCAGATTATTGGCATCTGCCAAAAAACTGATTACTGACGTCACCTGGAGGTATGTGGGAAGAAATGTCCCTGTTGTTGTGAACTTTGTGTCATTTTACAGCAGCGCAGACGTTAATTAATGCACCACACGTTTGTTTGGCCACATCCCAATCACACAAAAGTTATTTTCTGTTTTGTGAAACTGAAAATCTTGTCTTGTTGTGAGGTCTTTTATTGATCGTATATTCACTAAATCCAATTGATAACTTAAGTTTTAGTCTTGTACAATTTACTATACAGTACAAGTATCAATCCATCTAAATTCAGTTGGAAAATAAATGAAGTACCATCTTTTGTTTGGGTGTGTGACTACATTTAGGCATAAGAAAGATTCCTTTAGAAAATTAGGTTGCCACGTTAAAATCCAACATAGCGTTGGACATTTATATATTTGTAAACCAGACACCTCAATCATTTAAGGAAACTATGCTTTCTAGCTTTTATATCGCTTAAAAGTATAGTTTCCTCAAAAGACTGGGGTGGCTGAAGATTAATTTAAAGTGGCCAAGGCCACCAATGGCCACCCCCTGGATCCACCATTGCAAATAGTGGTGGATAAAATTGATAAAATTTGCAATTTACTATACAGTACAAGTATTAATCCATCTAAATTAACTTTTTCCCCGCTGCTGTATGTTTTAGTGAAATAAATTTGTTTTAAAATCATATTTCTGGACATGAGTATTCTGGTAATATTGTTATGCGTCAAAGGTGTAAAATTATCTAAGATGAAACGATGTTTTGGTGTGTGACGTGTCTGAGCCGTGTGCAAATAAACATATAATTCTACAGATGAAGTGATTTCTGGTTCTACTTCAGTGTTTTGTTTTTTAAATTAATTAATTGTATTTGCAAAACTCATGACACCTCCACATACGTGTATTTATAGTTTCTCAAACACACAGCTGTAAATAAACACACATAAAACACTTTTGCATTGTTTAGTTTATAAAATTAGTCATATCTACCTGAAACTTATTCTAAATATCTGATGTTAAATGGATACTGCCGTGGCATAAACTGGAATGAAACAATTACATGTTCGCACATTTAACCACAAAAGGCATTAGAGCTGACAATGACATTATTTTATTGATTTATAATTAAACCTGCAACCATCAACAAGACGTAACTAAAGAGGGAGTGGATGTTTTAAAAAATGGGTCAGCAGAGAAATCTTATGTAACTTCATGGAGAATAGATGAAGAGTTCATGGTTCAGTGGGTTTTCAGAGGGTCGTCTAACTTTTTATTTATAATGCACAACAAGCTGAGGCTCTTGTACCAGTCGTGGTACATCCTCAGTGCTTTATGTTTACTCTGCTGTATTTTTGTGTTTATACTTGCCCAAATCGTTGCTTTTGTATTTTAAATGCCCATCTTTTAAAATGTGACATTTAAAATTATGCAATCTGAAGTGAGTGCATTTATCATTTATGTGTTATTGGATCAAGTATTGCCAGTTCCAAGTCAAATCCTCGGGAGTACATATTTATCCAACAGAGACAGCCTTGATTTTGTTCCAGTTCCAAACACAGTTTTGCATGTGCGCTGCACAGTAGGTCCACATTACTAAGAAAAGCCCAGAGGGTCATTAAGTTTGAGGGTCAATGCCTTTCAAAGGCACTTCTGTCATCCAAGTTAGACAAACTGTGATTTAACTCTTTGCTGTTAGGATGAAGGAACATTTACTGGTTGCATTAAGCAGCAGAGGCGTTGTTCTGCTGCTTAATGCAACACAAACAGGAGGGTGTCTGTTAAACTGTTGGCTCAGACGTGTTTACATATGTGTCTGAAGCATGACGGGACATGGGGTTTGACAGAAATACACCTAAAATATAAAAAAATATAATAATCTGATCAGGTGTCTGTAAATGAGGCTAAGATAAGATAAGATAAGATAAGATAAGATAAGATAATGGATAGATGGATAGATGGATAGACAGACAGATAGATAGATAGATAGATAGATAGATAGATGGATGGATGGATGGATGGATGGATGGATGGATGGATGGATGGATGGATGGATGTAGCCACAGGACAGAGGAGCAAACATCTATTGATGTTCATCACGAGGGTCTCCATGACCACCGTGCAACCGTTAACCCAGTTTGTGTACTGATCTCGCTCCCGCCACAGACCTGAGTCAAACCGATGTTTGACATCAGTCCAGGGAAAAGGTGATGCTGTTATTTTACCTGAAATGTTCAATTCTCTGATGTCAGAAATAATAACAATGAAATAAATAAACGCTGGACTCGTCTTTCAGGAAAACTTACTGGACATTTACAGAAACGTCATCAATCGTGGGAGATCGTTTGATATTTGAAACGTAATCCGAACCAAATGCCGAGGTGTGCTGTAGGGCCTTCACACTCACTGGGTTGGACCAGAACATCAGTGTGAAACAGATACTTTGGCTGATAGCAGATACTTTGAAACAGCTCAAAGTTCGGCTGGTTTTTGGCTCACTCCGGCTGAACGGTGGCGTGTCACTCCTTGATCAGCTCAGGGTTTATGTTTTAGTGAATACTTGGTACACGGAGTACTACAGTGTTACTGTTCAAACACGTGTCGCAACAACGCTGTAAAGTTCCACAGGAAACAGGTTTTAAATTTAATCTTGTGTCTTTCTGAACCTCCACAGAGGTTTTCAGCAGGTTCTGACGGGTTCTTGTGTTAAAAAAGAGGAGCTCTTCTTGTAAGCAGGCGGTCTTGGTGGGTGTTTACGACCTTCCACTATCAGCACATTTTTTACCTCGTCCCCTTCCTGCTCGTACCGTTGCTCTTTCACAACGTGGTCAGTCTCCATGACCCGGCCCCCAGCCAATCAGGTGAGGAGCAGAACCACCCGATCCATGAAACGACGACTTGTGGCGTCTCCTCTCTATCTGTCCAGAACAACACAATGATCTGATTTTAAATCTCGGGACAGGAAATGAGGCTTCTTTGACAGAGCTTCTGTACCTGCGATCCCCTCCATAAAAAGCTGGTTTCAGGAGTTATCAGTGTCTGTGACGTCATGTCTGTGGTCAGAACCTTGTGCTGTTTGCTCATAATTTACCACCTCAGCGAGGGAAAGAAAATCAGGGGAAGCAGAGCAGGTCAGTATCAGATGATTAATAAAATGCTGCATGAACAGATTTGTTAAATAACAGATATTGGCTGTATTGGTGCATGGATGGTGGAATGAACACATGATTAGTTTTATTAGGGTCCAAACAGAACATCACACCGTCTTCTTTCTTTAGATTTAAATTTTAAAACATTAGATCATGTTGCAGTTTTGTATTTAAACAGGAGCTGCAAAGTTCACATAAAAAAAAAAAAAAAAATTAAACTTCATCTTCCTTCAGATGATTTTTTTTGTTTGTTTTTAGGTTTACATTTAAAGTAGAATAACTATTTTTAACTTTTTGGAGTGGAGTCAAAGTCTGACATCAAGACTGGATTTTTTTCAAATGATTATAAAGCATATGACGAGTTTGACATTAAAGGTACAGTTCAAATATTTTACTGTGGGGTTTTATGAAATGTTTTCATATCTCACTTGATGTAGAAAACTATTTGAATGATCTCAAAGAGAAATTATTTAACTCTGATCAAATTAACCTAAAGGCTAGATTACATGAGACCAAGATTAAAGCAGATTACTGTAATTTACACTGCTTCATAATATATAGTATTATAGTATACTATACTATAATATAAAGTATTTTACACCACTTTATAACGTAGCTGTTTTGTTTTGTTTATGCTGTTTTATTTCATTTCTTCTATTTACTTTTAATTTTATATTCTGATTGTCTACTGCTGTCTGTAGCTCGTCTGTGTCCTCGAGGCTCAACGAGACTAACCTGTAGAAATAAAGGTTGAATGAAAATGTAAATGTCAACTCCTGTCTCAAAAATTACACAGTTCAAACGTTGTTTTGCGAAACGTGACGATTTTAAACTTCATGGTTATTCCAGCAGAAATATTATGATAATCCTGTAGGAAGGACGAAAGAAGTACAGCTGCCTGAAGCTGCCATTATTTGCACCTGTACACATCCATAAAGGTGTTTCCATGAACCTTTAGATCAGGGTTCATTCACATTAAACGTGTCCAGAGCCGCAGAAACCTGCTACAACTGTGGTTATCAACTGGTGGCCCATGGGCCACTTTAGGTTTGCTGGAGGGGGCTTTTGTGGCCAGTAGGGGTGACATTATAAAGCAAAAAAAATCTAATGATTTTTATCACTTATTAAAGTAAAATATTCTTGTAAAGAAGGGGGGAAAATCAGTTTTTACCATCTTTTTTAATAAAAAAAAATCATAAACTATGCAGACAGTTATTCATAGAAAGTAATAAAGCATCAAGTTAAAGTGTTTCTTCTTGTACTCGCTCCAGTGTTCACATATTTGCAAAAGAAATGACAGGAAAACTGTTTAACTCGTCCTTTTTTGTTATTTGTATAACTAATAAAAATCAGTTTCATGTCAGTTTTGGTCAAAGCTTGAAAGAGCCGCTGCAGAGGGAGCAAAGAGCCGCATGTGGCTCCAGAGCCGCAGATTGCAGACCCCTGCTTTAGATAGTTGTCTGGAAACAGCAGCGATCCAGTTTGAGCTTGGTCCCACTCAAATGAACTGTTTGCTCATCAGTTTAAACTAATCATTCAAACTGAGGCAGTTTGAAGAGTTATCTACAACCGGTAAGACATTAGTGATTCATAACTTCCACAGAACCCCATTTTAAAATGACTATTTCTCTTCTCTTGAAATTAAGCTCTAAGATTTAGGACAAATATGCTGATTTGGAAAAATATAATTATTTCCCTGCTCAATCTGTGTGTTTCACAAAACTATAATGTCTGGAAATGATGCGCTGTAATTTTGTCAACTATTGATAAACACAGTTTCTGTTGTGCACAAGCCATCAGAAAATATTAAAAATGCTCACGAGCAGCAATATAAATATAAATAAGAACAAAAAGACACTCTGTGGATTTTGTATTTTTACATTAATTTGCCCTGCTTGTCATATTGCTCCGAAATATGGGGAAATGCAAATAAAACAACTATTAAAATATTATTAAAGCTACAAAAAAAAAAAAGCAATTAGGCTTATTAATAAAGTGGAATATTGTGAACCAACTAATACACTTTTTATTCAAAGTCATACTTTAAAATTTGACATTATTTATATATAAAAATACTGGAAATAATGTATAAAGCACTGAATAAATGTCTTCCTTCTGGAATTCAGAAATTATTTAAGCTAAGAGAGCGAAAATGTAATTTATGAGGTTTGTTAATATTTGAACAAGCTAAAGAGAAAAGTAATAAAATCTAGATGTATTTCAGTTATTGGCGTGAAACTGTGGAATAAACTGAATGATGAGCTTAAATTATGAGCTTTTTTGGTGCTTTAAAAGAGCCTTAAAATGTAAAATTATAGAAGCTTATACTGTAGATGTATATGTATTGTGTAACCATGTATGTAATGTGTATGTCAGTATATACATGCATATTTAAGTATACGGTAAATGTCTGTATGTGTACTTATATATGGACAGTAGATATATTTCAGTATGAAGACAGATGAGTCTTTGAATATGTAAGTATATACTTTGGCTTCAGCCTATTCCTTTTTAGGTAAATAATTGATTTACCATTTTATATATATATTTTTTTTTTTAATGTTTTCAACTTACCAAAATAAAGTTGAGTAAAACTTGTACTTATCTAGAGTAGAAACTTGTAATTATTCACCCCAAAGTCAACATTTCCGGTAAACAATCTAAATGGAAAAAAAGAACCATCAAGGAGAACAAACAGATAACGGTGCTGCTGTTTGGTTCCTCAGATGTGTGGGACCCAGCTGTCCTGGGGGTGAAGGAGCCACATGTCAGCAGGTCAGTCTTCAGGCTGTTTGTAGGAGGTGAGGACACCTGCACGCTGGACCTGCTGCAGCTGCAAACTCTCACCTCCTGTGGCTTCAACAGCAGTAATCCCCTCATCATCATCACTCATGGGTGGTCGGTAAGGTCAGCCTCTTTACGCCTCGCTGAGCACAGAACAGAACACGACCTCTGCAAATTAAACACGTTCAAAGGCACGGTGATGCTGGTGAAACTAAAAACTGTTTATATGGCATATAAACTTTGTTACATTGTTACTCAAAAACTTTTGTTTTGTCTAAATGAACTGGATTAGTGAAAATAAAACGTTCAAACGTGATTTCTTCCATGTTCCCCCTTTCCAAGGTGGATGGTTTGATGGAGAGCTGGGTGTTCAGGATGGCCACATCGCTCAAGACAAACCTCATAAACGTTAACGTGGTGATCACCGACTGGATGTCTCTGGCTCGACAGCATTATCCTTTAGCTGTTCTGAGCACCCGCACCGTGGGGAAAGACATAGCTCACCTGCTGCAGAAACTTCAGGTCAGACATTTTTACTTCTGCAAAGAAACTTCTGCGTTTTTAATCACAGAATATGTTTTGTTCAAGAAAGTAAATGTCCTAATCAAATACTTATCATGTACTGCTGCATGCATTTTAGCGTGTCTTAATTAAATCTCTAGGAAAAGTACGAGTATTCAGCTAGAAAGGCTCATCTGATTGGCTACAGCCTGGGGGCTCATATATCTGGATTTGCTGGAAGTTACCTGGTTGGTTCAGAGAAGATCGGCAGAATTACAGGTGAGCATTTTCTTTTATCGAAATTTGAGCATAATTGGACTAACAAACAAAACAGAACCTCTTTTTTGTTTGTTTGATAATCCAGGTGGATAAATCTAAAAGTTAAGTCAGGTCTTCTGGACGGGTTCTTTTTGTTGAAACATTTCATCTTTTATCCAGAAGACTTCTTCAGCCTGCGGAGCTGCAATAAACTCCGTCTTATGCACCTTAGAACCCGTCCAGAAGACCTGACTCAACCTCGTTAGATTTTGGTTTGGATGTTGTAACGCTGAAAAATTAAGAAAAAAAAAATGTATAAAAATACTAGATCTTGATTCACCAAATCATTTTTAATTCAATGAAAGCAGTAAAAACGCTGTTGGAACACGTCACGTGGTTGAAATGCAGCAAAGCAGAAAGCCCTTCAGCAACAACAAAGGCCTTGCATAAACCTCGCGTAAATTTAGAAAAATATCAACAAATAAATGTTTCTTCTCGTGAAACGGGAAAAAAATATTTTGAATCTCTAATGATCCATGATGCAAGTTAAAACTTATATTTCCAGATCCAGGGTTCGTTACGACAGACCAAGAAGACACAAACTGTTCTGAACTGTAAATTACGAACAAACTGGTTAAACTCTCAGGAACCAACAAGGTTTTGGAGGGTTAACTGTGAAGATTTATTTATTAAGCATCGTCTTAATATCCACATGCTGATGATTTTGGTTTTAGCCTGCATTCTGCACGCAATGTATGCAGAGACGGTTCTGAACTGTTCAGCAACTAAATTCAAAGTAACACAAACTTTTAGTTTGCTGTAATTTAACCTTTACTTAAAAACATAATCTTGACTCAGGAATCCTAGCCAACTATAGACATATATCTAATCTAACTTTCATCTCAAATATTCTAGAGAAAATAGTTGCAGGTCAGTTGCGGGATCATCTGGAAAGAAATAATCTGAAGAGTTTCAGTCCGGGTTTAGAGCTCATCGCAGCTCTGAATTGGCACTGGTGAAAGTTACTAATGGTATTCTCATGGGCTGATAATGGACAGGTGTCTACACTGGTCCTGTTAGACCTCAGTGCTGCATTTGATACAGTTGATCACAATATTTTACTAAAGAGACTTGAATATGGTGTTGGGATTACAGGAATGGCTCCAAGCGTTTTGGTAACAGTTCCTGTTTTAAATGCGCTATGCAAATAAATTTGACTTGACTTGACTAAATTGGTTTAAATCATATTTATTTGATAGATTCCAATTTGTAAATGTAAATAAGGAATCTTCATTATACACCAAAGTTAGTCGTGGAGTTCCTCAGGGTTCAGTGCTTGGACCAACACTCTTTACGTTATACTGTAGATGCTTCCATTAGGTAAAGTTATTAAACAGCATGGGATACATTTTCATTGTTATGCTGATGATGCACAGTTATATTTGTCCATGAAACTCAATGAATCCAATCAGCTACTTAGACTACAAGCATGTTTTAAAGACATAAAAACGGATGATCCTACATTTTCTGCTTGACTGAGGTTTTAGTTTTGGACCTGAGCATCTTAGGAATAAATGTTTCAGTCTTTCTCCCTCCTTGGATGGCATTAATCTGTCCTCCAGCTCTAATGTTAAAAATCTTGGTGTTATTTTTGATCAGGACATGCTTTTTATCCCCCACATTAAAAACGTTACCAGAACATACTTCTTCCACCTGCGTAATATCACTAAAATTAGAAACGTCTCATCTAAAAATGATGTAGAAAAACTGGTCCATGCATTTATCACATCTATACTAGACTATTGCAGTGGTTTCTTATCTGGGTGTCCAAATGCTTCTTTAAAAGTTTTGGTGTTTTTGTTTGTTTGTTTTTGTGTGTTTGTGTAAAACCAGGTATGTTTGTGTGCAGGTCTGGATCCAGCAGGGCCTCTGTTTGAAGGCATGTCCCCCACAGACAGACTGTCTCCTGACGATGCAGAGTTTGTGGACGCCATCCACACCTTCACGCACGAACGTCTGGGCCTCAGCGTGGGCATCAAGCAGGCCGTGGCACATTATGACTTTTACCCCAACGGAGGAGACTTTCAGCCCGGCTGTAACCTGCAAAATATCTACGAGCACATAAGCGAGTACGGGATTTCTGGTAGGATAAAGAACACGGTGCACTTCTTTACATAAAACTGTAAACTGTTATTTTGTCGAGAGAGGAGAAATGTTGAGAGCTGCAAGTTCAGCTTCATCTTTAGGCTCAGTTATATCCCTGATGGAAAATATTAAAAAATAAACTACTATATTAAGATGTCTAGTTACTGTAAAATTGCAAAGATACTAAAACAATAAAGATGAAATATTGCAATTAACAATAGACATAAAAATATTTTCTTGTTTAATGAGTAGGTCTAGAAAGTTTAGAATAATTTCATTTTTTTGAGTTATAATTCTTGTGACCAGATTTAAACAAAACATGGGTTGTTGAAACTGCAGATTTGACTTTTTGGAATTTATGTGATCCTTTTTTTTTTTTATTACGTAAAAACTTCTACAAAACTGCAAGCTTTGTTCAAAGAGTACACAAAGGGACTACACATCACTTGGAAAAACAAAAGTTTAATCATTTTAACTCTATTTAAAATCAATGTGCCTTTTTTAGGCAAACAGTACAATTCTGAACAAAACAAACATTTGTATTTATTAGAGTCAGATTTTTCTAACAGCTTTCTTTTTTACAGCTCAGAGAAACATCACGTACTGTATTTTCCGACATATAAGTCACAGTTTTTTCCATATTTTGCATGCCCTGCGACTCATGCGCCGAAGCGACTTATTTGTTTTTTCCCATATTTATAAACCAGTTTCAGAATCAGAATAAACTTTATTGGCATTGCACCGAGATACGAGAATATGTACGTACAGTCGTCCGAAAGATGGGCGGAGTGCACGAAGCTGCGGCTATAAATAAATAGCGCGACCCTCTTATTCTTATTCAAAATAATATTTTGCTTGGATGAGAAAAGTTTTTGACCATTTTCATTCATTCTGACATTCAAAATATTGAACACTACCATTTTCAGCTGCTAGATGGCACATGAGTTATATGGCATGCCGTTGTGTCATGTAATAGGTAAAAGTGGCTATTAATGACACAATCGGCTTGCCATAGCCTGCCACCTTTCTATAATTTTGCCATAGCCTTGCCACATTTTAGGGTTGTCAGTGGTGATGCATAATAGATGCGACTTATACGGCGAAGCGACTTATACGGCGAAGTGACTTATACGGCGAAGCGA